CGGATCAATCCTTGCAATTATTCGGGATAGGATCCTAACAATTAACATAGCCTCGTCAGTTTTGTGGTATTTTTCTTACCCTTAATTTCTTCGATGGCGACATATATTTGTTTATGAATGATGGAGTTTATCAATTTTGCAGAACATATTGCCAGTGTTGGACGCAACATATCATACTGGACCAGGTCTTCTACGTTAACATTCCTAATTTTGATTGATTGCATCTAAGAGATTCTAAGAAGATGAACCAGAATTAGGAAAAATAAGCATTAGTTCAAAATAGTGATTAATCAAAGGGAATTCCACACGATCGATCATACTAGATAAATGTTGAGAATGACTACACAGTGGTTAATGAAGTGTGTGTTGTGATCTCACCTAATGCAAAATTGTCGAATTGCTATTTTTTGAAGTTTTTTTTGTGTAAAAATGTACAATAGCAATTCAATGTATGTCAGATGATTGAAAAATAGAAATGAATGATAAAAAGGTGATTGAAAAATAAATTCATAAAAAAAGCTTAAAAATTTTTTGTTGACAAATAGATGCAAGATTAATTAGCCATCACTAACCGCATGAAGCAGTTGGTTAGCGAATTAGTGGAATCATCACGAACAAACTTATGCTCGGTGATTTCTCCTTGTATGTTGAAAGACTAGTTTAGGTTAGAGTGCGTGTGATAGAACTAAAATTTGAAATCTAAATTAATTAAATTATTAAATTGCTGAATTCTAAATCCATTAAATTATTAAATTGTTAAGTATTAAATTTAATACACTTGAGTGCATATCACATTTAATGATAAGTAAATAACTTATAACAAATGCCACTTAATTCATTTAAATATTTAATTTTTAATTATCAAATAATTATCAACTATATTAGAGTTTGGATAGGAGATTATTTGAAATAATTACTGTAACACTTTTTGTGATATGATATATGTGAGATAAGAAAATAAATAGAGAGATAAAAATATGTGTTAAAAATTGTATTGCTGATGTAAGCAAATAATTTCTGATCCGGCTATCCAAATACATTCAAATTTAAGTGTTGAATTGGATTGTAAAACAGTTTTCAAAATATATTGTTAAAACAAACTAGTGCAAACTAATAGTAGTATAAAGTAACACAGATTCAGCCAAGAATTAAAAAAAAAAAAAAAAAACAGATGCTACTATAATAAGTAGGTGGCATGAGATTATCAAGCAAACAAATCCGACAACATTTATTGAAAAGGCAAACAAAACATATAGGAGTGACGTCATCCGAGACCAAATACCAGGAACCCTTCCCAGTCATGATGGACTCAAACATAATATACGCCCTTGAACAGGACATAACAGAACAGAACAAAAGCAAACACGCACTTTAAAGGGACTAAAAACGACGCGCTGAAAAGTGAAAAGCGATCCCGACCGTCGATCCTACATCTTCGCAGACGTAAGGCACGACTTTACCGGTTACCGCCACCACTTCAGCCCATATGGGACTGACTCAAACCACAATAAGCGTGGTTGCACCTCGTACTACTCCTTTTTTTATTTAATTATTACGATAATACTACTAATAAATTAGTAGTGCAGCAGCAGGAGATCACAACCCAATCCAAATTTAGTCAAATAGCCAGGACGAGACCGGGCACGGATATCCCGACTTGGCTAGCGAGACTGCTCTCCCAAACGGACGGGCAATGGAGAGAGGTAATCTGGGCAAAATTCGAGGAGGAGGGATTATCTGCGGCCCCGAATCGGGTCACCGTCAGGGAAGTGTTGAAGTACTCGCGGACTTGGGTAATTATCCCATCAGTGACGGTCCAGGCGTGAACCCAGGTGATGTTGCGGGCCTGATCGCACCCTTCTACGAGGACGGTGGATCCAAAGGCGGCGACTGATTGTGGGACGAAATTGAAGGAGTCTTTGTCAGTATTGCCGGTGAGGAGGCGCATCAGAAACTGGTGGGAAGGCGGACCATGGAACCACCACTCCAGGTCGGGAGCCACGAGCCGCTGGACCTTGTCCACGTCACGTGCACTCAAGGCTTCATACAGGGCGAGCACCAGCCCTTTGTTTTGAGTTTCCTCCAGAGTTTGAGTGTTTGCCAGTTCCGAACGAAGAAGGAGAGGCTTTTTTGTTTTCGATATATAAGAGGCTGAGGAAAGACGGCGATGAGGATTGCAAAACGGAGGGGATTGGGGGACAATATATAGGGAGAGGGAAGGGCGTTTTCGTTATTCAGTGTAAAGTCGGAGGGTGATTGTTTTGAATACTAGGATTCTGTTTCTGGTGTGACGTGGCTGTTTTTGGTTGGGTAATGATTGTGGGGCTCGTTTTTCATTATCTGGTCGGGGCCACGTTGTAGGGTTTGGAGCAGTTGTCAAGCCAACTTTATTGAAAGCCCCCAATACCCGCCCCCAGCCCCACGACATTCAGGACCCAGCCAGAAGGAGGGGAAATAATCAAATAAAAAAAGAGATAGAGAGAGCGAGCGCCTCGGCCTAGCTATAGCCTATAGCAAGTGTTAATTTAATTCATGCCAAATTTCAGTTACTCGTGGAATACATTTTTTCGTTTTTTTTTTTTTATAAATAGAGTTCTTCTTCCATTTATGATCTCAGAGCGTGTTTGTGCATTGCCACGTGAGTCTAAACAAAGGGAGGTTGTTTGTAAATCATGATGACATCCGCATTTGGCGTGTTATCCATCCAATATTATATTACTCCCTACTTATGTAAGCAGTTGATGAGATTTTGTTTTTCTCTCTTTTTTTTTTCTCTTCAAGGGAATGAATTCTTGTAGCGAGGTTCGGGTGAGTACTGTCCGGCTTTTGCATTCGGGTCAAAGTGATTTGTTGCCGTCCATTGAAGTTTAAGACTGTGCCTTTACGAATTCGAAAGAGGAGGGATGAAGGAAACAAACAAAAGAAGCACCAAAGGAAGGAATATGTAAAGTCGTGATGTGACGTATATAAAATAAAAAAATAATTAAAAAATATATTTATGACACAAGCGAAATATTAAACGAAATAATTCAGCAATTCAAACACAATGTTAGCAAAGTTTGACAGCCCCAAAGGGAAAGAGAAAGTCTGATGTTATTTCAGCCATGGATCGGCAATGCTAACACCATGTTGTTTGGATTGCGGTTTTTCGTCGAAAAATTACGTCGTTTTTCGTGATCACATTTCCCTATCACCTTTTTCCCTCACATATATCAAATCGTTACAGTAATTTTTTCATGAAAAATCATAAAAAATGCAATCCAAACACAACAAAATATTTACTTTCCTAAGGCCTTGCTTGGATTGCTTGTTTCCGTCGGAAAATATTGTCGTTTTTCGTGATCACATTTCCCTATCACCTTTTTCCATCACATATATCAAATCGTTACAGTAATTTTTCCATGAAAAATAATAGAAAATGCAATCCATACACAACCTAAGTATTTGCATCTTGACAACGAGACGCATGTTTAGAGACGCATGTTTACTTCCTAATAAGCTCACTTCCACAAAGAGAATCGTCATTAAAGATAATGCAACCTCTCAATTCAACACCGTCTAAGAGTAAAAGGAGTGACGAGTGCGACGCCCACCCCACAACAATTTTGTCAGTATGGTCAATAAATACGCAATATTAGTGGCGGAGATATGTAAATATAAAGATTAAATCTGTGGCTAATAAATCAGCCAATGCCCCAAATGATGCACCACTAAGTAAGCCGTAATCTATTTTCTTTCCTCTTTTTGGTAAAAGTAAATCCGTGTGTGTGTGTGTGTGTGTGTATATATATATATGTATATAGTGGGTGTATATGGTCCAGCACTCCAGCTCCAGCGTGCATGCACGAGCGACAGAAAAATAATTGAAAAAAATAAAAGAGGTACAGGTGTATCATTCACAATGCCACACTGGCAAGCGCTGTGCATCGCTTTCGGAGAAGAAAAATCAAAATACGAGTCAGAGTCGAAGTCAAATCGCCCTGGCCTAGACACTAGAGGACAAACTGGAGTTGTGCGAATGAATCCACATTTGACTCTGTCTTTTCTTTTCTAAGAGGTGGTCGTCCATAGAAACGGAAAAAAAAAAAGACCATTAATCTGGCCCCCTTGTTTCCTCACTCTCGTAAGCCGTGAGATACAGTAGTATACTATTTGTTTGTGAGATATCCCCAGATTTTAGACTACTGGAAGCTCCAATGATGCAAGCATTCAGGAGGGCGGGCTGCGTTCTACGCCTGCTAAATCCAAAACTTGGATAAGCCTTCCTCAGAGGTAGCTAGCAAAACTGAATAGCACCGGACCAGTATCGTTTTAAATCTTCTTCTTATTATCGCACAACTCGCCAGAATAAATCAACCGAATACGATGGCCGTTTCCGCTGTCCCTGACCTTGCGTGTGGTAGTAGTAAGCCGTAAGCGAAGAAGAACTTGAAGTACTAAGCGAGAGGCGTGGCCCGCGACGTTGGGGGTGTCCCCGGCCCTCATTAATTACGCAGTTTAGATGCAGCCATATATTTTTTTTAATGTGGTCCAGTACTCTATTGGGTGATGCTGGAGGTCAAGGTTCAACCCCTGTCTCATACAAAAAAAATTTGTCACTTTACGTGGTCGATCTTCTATCTCCATGAAATAGCTTGAGCGGCCCGCTTCCACTCCTTAAGATATGGCGACCTTCTTGGTTTATCCAGGGTTCGAGTCCCGTTGTTAACGTGCTCGGTGTGGAATGGGGCCTCTACTCCGGATCGCAGGAGATTAGTCGGGCCCCGTAAGAATTGATCCGGACATTCCTGTGTTGACAAAAAAAAAAAAAAAAAAATATATATATATATATATTTTTTAATGTATATAATGTGTATTGGTGTAAAAGGATCAACTGTAATTTTATATTTTTTGTTTTCTGACGATTCGAAAACCGGTGACTTATCGATTATAAATGAAGCGTTTTATTAATTAAATTATGTTTGACACGTGTCTATTAGCTACCTCCTAACGAGCCGTGAGTAGTGACGACTGACTGCGGAGCGCTGCTTAGTCATCTGTGTGGGAGGCTCCCGCATCTTTCTTTCTACCGTCCCACCATCTCCGGTCTCCCGCCCATTTGTCGTATCCTTTCCTTTGCTAGAAAAATTTACTAAGTCGGTTGTAAAGGCGTCAGGTGCATTTGGGTTTCATCCCCTTCGTTTCATTCATGATGCTGCTACGAACTACTACTTATATATTCTTTGCTCCGATGACAAATATCCCGGGCGCAAAACGGGGAGTTTCACCGATGTTATGTCGGAAACTCGGAGGTACGTGGAAGTCCTGTTTCTTTTTTTTCCTCTTTTTCTTGTTTACTTTGAGTTTTGTTTGGGTACAAGAGAAATTGCAAAAGGGATGCGCGATCAAAGTTAAGAAAAAAAAAACATATTCATTGATTGATTCATAGAAGAGTCAATACCAAACGTCAGAGCAGATGAAGAAGTTAGAGAGGGAAAGCGAATGGAACAGAGAGTCATTCTATAACTTGCAAAACAAGGGAAATTGTTGAGCCGAAATCCAATCCATTTCTGATTGTTTGGCTGGTGAAAACCAATTTGCCCATCATGGCGGCGTGTAAGAGGGTTTATATCTTTTCACGCCGCTACTACATTTTTCAAACCACATCTTCACTGTCCCCGAATTAATCTGCAAGAAACAAGAAGCATACATACGAACACTAATGTACAGGAATGAAGGTTCTCATGCATAACGTTTCACACGCATCACGAATTTCATATCTTGATCATGCCCCGACTCTGAGGGCTCATCAACCTTCAAAGTAGTAATTTAATCACCTTCAATTACCCAACAATGGAGAGCAAGAAGAGTGGCGTCTTCGACAGCATTGTGACTAAGCACAGTGGAGTTACTTCTTGTTGCTATGCCTTCTTGGACAATTATTGGGGGTTTAAAAATTGGAGTAAATGACATTAATTGAATCATGCAATAATTCTCTAGTAAAAACATTGGACGTGCATTTTTTGTTGGTTTCTTCTAGGGCTTTTTCCGTTGCCTATAGTGTTAGTGATGCATGCGCTCACGGATGGCCCTAATGCCTTTGGATGGAATTGATGAGATGATGCTCAATCGGTGTCCATCATAAGGAATGCCAAGTTCATTTCCGCAACTTTAAACAATTGCTCAGAAAGTTCCCTCAGGAGCCATCATGTAGCTTAGCTAAAATCGACCCTTCATTCGCCTAAGCGGCCAATAAATCTCTAAGAAGACACCTTGTCTAACAATGCAAATCTATTCTCGAAGACTATTAACCTTATAACATTAGGTTGCTGAAAAGGTTTTGATCTAATTAAAATCCCACGAATTAGAGGTCCTAGATTCAAATTTTTCTTTCTCCTCCACATTTCTTAAATTTCACACTTTCCCTACTAGAAAGGGGGGGAAAAAAAACTTACTATTACCTTGGGTTATATTTGCCTTCCGCTTGGATATCACCTATTCATTGGTAATTACCAAAATTCAAGGCCGAAAGAAAATATTAAAGCAATAATTAGACTACTTGGACGGTGCTCGTTTTTGGAATACGAACATTCAGAAAACGTCACTGATGTTAATCATGCCGGTTTGAATTGCTATTTTTAAGAGTTTTTGTAGAAAAATATAATGTAACGATTTGATGTGTGTGAGATAAAAAGGTGATTGAAAATGTATTCACGAAAAATATATCAATTTTTCTACAAAAAAAAAAAAATCACAATCCAAAGTGGGGATGTTGGCGCAATTGCAAGTATGGCTAGTTTGTTTAGTGGCTTATTTACCTACTATTCTGTCGTCCTCGTTACCAAAAAGGCGCACCTCCGTTTACAATTTGACGTTTGTGTGCCACTTTACTATAGGTTGATGTTTACTACAATTCTTACCTCTTCAAGAAAACAAATTAAACGTTGACGTGTCACTTACCCAGAAGGAGTATGATCGAAGTGGCAAAGATACCCAGACAGTAGTGGAAGCTTTTCTCATAAACATGGTGACGCACATTGAGGAAGACCTCTAAGCATGCTGATCTGGTAATTCCACCATCCTCTGCTCTATGTGATCAAGACTTTGTTCTTAAATCAGCAGCGGAATACTGCTGTTAGAAACCAACTTTTTACCTTCTTCCATGACTAACAGAGCATTAGCACAGGATCAGTTCCCTTGGGAGCATTCGCATAGGATCAGCTCTTAGCATGCTTATCAGTTGTCAGAAAGAACTTCAAAAATGAATAACTTATTTAGACAGGTTGCTGTAATTTAGACATGATTTCTGGGATATCTATTCACATTTCAGGAACGCATAATGTCCGCATTGCTACTTTCATCAGATCAGACAAGTCCAGAAACATACATACATACATGCCTGGTCTAAGAAAGAACAGCAGATGTTTTGGAATGAAAATATTTCGCAAGGCAAACTAGATAACTTTCTTTGACGCCTGTCAACATAATTCAAAATCAGGAGACAAAAGAAAATTGAGAAACTTAATTCTTTGATCAAACTTCACAGCATCAGCTATCGAAGCAACTAAGAACATACAAGCAAAACATTGCATCAAAGACTGGAGAACTCGAGAGAAAGAAACAAAACCTCCAAGATATTCGCGACCATACAAGTGACTCTGATATTCAATCCTCAATTTCCTAGTTTCATCTTTTCATTCCAATGTATTTATATATACATACATATATTATCACCAGCTTCACAGACCATTGCTGATTCAACACCAATATTGGATCAGACGTTCGGCTGATGAGACAACGATTTGCTTATACTGATTCAATGCAACCGCAATAAACAGAAAACAGAGTTTTAAATATGTTGCGAACTCTGAGAGGCACATTCTCCTCGTTGCTTCTTAGATGTTTTGTCGTCACCAAATTTGACTTTCTCTTTGACGAAAGAGCAGGATAATCACAAGGAAAATCCTCGAGTATCCAAATATAAGCTGCAAATGCCATGTCAAAAGCTGTTACAATTTTTTATGCCGACACAGGAAAAGGATTGGAGGCTATGTCTATCCTCGCCAATTCTACGAGAAGGTAAGCACAGAAAGTTGCTTGTCAGTAAAAGAGGAAAGAGGAAGTAATCGCTTAGCTATTGCCTTTTCTTCTTTATGAATTTGAAATGGCAAAATATGAATGGGAATTCTGTAGCTACCAGTTAATTTGCAATGTAAAAGATTTTCCATCACACATAGAAGAGAGAGTTCAAGTTTTATCCCTAACATCCGCAAAGAGGAAAAATAATATGCAGAAATAAGAGAAGACAAGCTCAAGCTCAAAGTCAAGCTAACCTTAGAGAAACCATCAAAAGGACCAAACAAATTAAAAAGAAGAAGAAAAATGATGGCACGATTTCAACATATAAACTAATGCAGGCTGGACAAATTCTTTAGCTAAAATCTTGAGAAGTAATTTATCCCTTTCTCAACTAGATTCTACAATTCAAATAAATATCAAAATTCCCAACTTCAGCTGGTCGTAATACCCCAAAAGACTTTACAAATGGTGAAACCACAAAAGAACAAATCTTTAGCATGAAATGCATATAAAGTTATAGACATGTGGATAGTGCGTGCAAATTTACTATTCAAATCATAAGTACAATTCAAAATCTTGTGCTAATTGTCGTCTCTGGTTATAGATGAAGGCGACGGTGGGGTCATAATCCCATCCTTACGTCCTGTATGATATTCTTCTTCCAGAGGAGGAAGGTGCCTACCAGGGCTAAAATATTCCTTTGAAAATCTGGTGGGACTAGGTGAGTTAGCTCTGAAACCCACTGGAGGGGAGGAGCTCATTCCAGGAGAACTTGGGCTGGACCTAACCTGAAACTCCCCATCTTCCCGAGGCAAAGGTGAAATTGGCAATTGGTCACCGTCATCGACTTGTTTCTTATAAAATTTATCCTCCACAATGTCATAGGAATTCCCTGTCCTTGCTTCCTGAGCAAGAGAGCACCAGCAGCAGAAAAGCCATGCCGCACAATCAGCAATAGCTGGTCTGGAACAACACAAGTTATATGGTGGCAAATTAAACCTCTTCCGCATCTGAATCCTCCAAAAGCCACCGTATAGTAACCCAAAAACACAAAGGAAAATACCAGTAACCCCCAAGGCCTCCCTGACAGCCTCATTGTTGATGTTAATTGCAGCCAAATTGAAAATCCAAAAAGGAGCCATACAAAACAGAAGAAATGTTGCAATGTGCACATACATGTTGCCGAATCCAAGTCTTTCCATGTTCCAACCAAAAACGCAAAAAGAACAGAACAGAGAAAGATAAGCTAAAGATATATCATCCCAAAAATCAAAAATACCCCCACTCCACTGTGGTCTCGTCTCAAGAATTTTCCCATCATCATCCCTAGATGCAAATGAGAACCGCCTCTCAAGTGATTTTCTCCTCAACTGGCTCGCTCTGCTACTCTCAGCAGTGGTAGCCTGAAGTTGTGCCTCCTCATCCAAATCAGATTCATAGTCTCTTCCAAGAGGGCTAAGCAGGGAGTACAGAGCGGCAGCAGCAGGTGCACCAATTGCAACAGATATAGTTATTCCAACTCCTATAGCAGGTCGCTCTGATCTCCTGTATCCCAAGTTAAGGCCACATAATGCATACTGAGCGAAACAGTTCAACTGGAGTAAACCAACCACTACCATCATGTGTGCCCATTCATGAGGCTTGTAAGTACCATTCTTGCAATAAATCTTCCTAAGCTTCGAAATGTCTTCTGGTCTCCATCGTACCAGAAGCACAAGATGATAGCAACGTTGTGGATGTTGATATAGACACATTAATGTAAACAATGCATTGAGAATTTGGTTATTCACTTCAAACCAAGCATCTCTTTGGGACTTCTTTGGCAAAGCATGGTTTAGCATTCCAGTCATGACCAAGAAAAGAATTGCACCAGATACAGCAACACATGTAATCCAGATGAAAAGAGCGAGATTCATAGGATTCCGGAACCATTCTTTGGAAATTTTCCATAAAGCATTCCAATGAATTTTCCGGGAAAATAACTTACTAACTTGCTCACGAATGTGAAGACTGCTGGAAGGTACAGCACGAGAAATTTCATCCCTTTCCTGGGCAATCTGATAAAATTTTGCTGAAGGGGATGACAAGTTACCAATTTTAAAGAACCTCAGCCTCTTGGGAAGCGCAGAGAAGTTATTCTGAAAATTATTTTGAGAGTCTTCATCACTTATCAACCCCCTCTGTGATGTTGAAATGTGCAGAGCAACACGACTCCCGACTTTACCATTGTCGCTTTCCTCAATTCCACCATTCTTTTCACCATTATTGGTAGGCACCATATTTTCTTCTATGAAGTTTTCAGGCCCCTAAAAAGTCACAATCCCCATCTGTGGCTCACGGTCAATTTCTTCCTGCCTAGTCAACAAACTTAGCTTCAGACAGCTGTAAATTTAAAGCATTAATGCACATCAGGCCGGGCACTATGTTCCATTGCAGTAAACACATTTGAAAATCACAACCTAGATAAAACCTGAAACGCCAAAAATACTGGTAAATCACACCCTAAGTAAAACCCAAAATCCAAAAGCACATAGCATCACCCGAAGATTAGTTCCATATTTCTTGTCTGGAAATCGGGGATAAAAGAAAAGGATACGCAAGAAAGCATTAGTTCCAGTTTGCTACTCAGAATAAGGGGATAAGAAACAGGGCCTACAAAACCAAATTTATAAATAGAAGCCCAACTACCAAAGAACAAACGAGGCCTCACAGCTATAAGTTCTGGGAATCAGATCAACAAGCAAAAAATTCTGGCTTGCAAAAGGTTGTGGACTACAGTCAATATTTCAACCACAAGTTAAAACCCATAAACCAAAACATCAGCTGAAGCTCCAGGGTAAGGTATGATAACAGCGGAAAGATCTACAAGCTCATACTGGAATATGTAAGATAAAAGCAGAAAGAAACAAACAATTGAGCCCAGCAAGAAAAAGTACTATAATTGGAAAAAGAAAAAAAAAGAAAAGAACAAGGAAATCCAGAAGTAGAGATAGTAAAAGCAAACCATTTGTTTAGGAACAGATGGGAAGCGAGTGGATGAGAGGAACCATCTTCACAGGAAGAAGATTGAGGGTGTTTGATTGCTTCATCGGAGAACCATGGCAGCAAGGAGTAAGAGCCGTTCAAAATTTTAAAAGAGAGGACAGAATAATAAAAGTTAAAGCAACTTTGATTCTTTTAATTTCTTTTTTTTTTTTTTAATTTTGGAACGCCTTCTAACATTTTGTTGGTTTCTCCAAAACTTCAATTGGGTGCAAGCGTGCGACTGGGACTAGTCAACAGGCTTTTAAGTGTAAATACATTATTACTTTGACCCACGCTTTCCAAACCCACCTATTAATTTTGAATGAATGAGCCTAAATATATATTTAATTAAACTAATTTGATTGATGAATAATGAATTGATTCGACTCATTTATTTATATTTATTTTAAAATAATTATATATTTAAACTCAAATTTTAATCAGTGTTAAATAAATAAATTTAAATTTCTCACTAATTTAATGGTAATTAAAATACCATTATTTCTTTTTTTGTCAAATAATATGAAAAGAAAAATAAAGTCACCAATTCTACTGCCTCTCTAGCGTGAGATAATTAGTCACGATGGCGGCTAATGTTGGGTTGACATCAACGCGACGACGTCGTTGCCCTACTTTTGTCAACGGGAAGGGAACGGGTTTGTAAAGAGCGCGGACTCAGTGCGGAGGCCGTAGCGTGGCTACCAGGTAAAGAATCTCCTTCTTAATTTCTGGTAGAAAGAGCAGACAAGGAAGGAAAGAATTTTTAGAGATTTATTATTATAGCTATAGCCTATAGGCACCAAATCAGCAGCAAATGATTGCTCTTGTTGTCTTTGATGATCCATCTGGAATCTCATCAATGAATATATGATCATATTACGCATGCAGCAGAGACTTGCAATAGTAGTAGATAAACCACTAACTCCAGGGAAAGATAGGGAGGCGGGAAAAAGAAATTTCACAGGCGTAACAGGCCTATCTAATCAATGGCAGAGTGACAAGTGTTGGCGGGTTTATGGCGTGGACCTCACCAAAGACAACAATACTCCGTCAAGCCATAGTTCCCGTCTTACCCACGACTGACTACCATATAACCACAGGCCACATCTGCTCTGCTCATTAAACAACCAATCACTACCCTGCATTCTCAACTTGCATGCCAAGGTAAGGATGATCTATCCCCATCCCATTCACAAGCCCCGCCACTAAAAAATTTTTTAAATGGGGAAA